GATATGTGTGTTTTAACTCACCCCATGAAAAGGGGAAATAACGATGGGGCTGAACAACAAGAATGACTGGATGATAACCCACGGGACACCCACTCCACGACCCCTGGTAATATGAGGGGAGAAATGAGTCACTCCACTGACGTGCATAAGAAAGGAAAGCATAGATCAATGATAGAAAGCCATATTGTGGGACCTTGTACGCACGCAAAAAGGGCAAAAGAACTGATGAACAGCGAAGGAGGAATTTAGTATGTGATTAAATGACGAAAAACTTTACAAGGAGGGGGACAACTAGAAGTGGTACAGCATACTCACGGACACCCATGGAGGAGGGCAGCGTCCCTGGTTGGAAGAACACATGCAGGAATGCAGTCACCAGGGATTGCGCTGATAGGTGTCCGGATTTGCTTAATACACCCCCACCCCCACCCCCGAATGTATACAAGCACAGACAGTCCAGTCAAGCAAAGTCATAGAACCGAAATAGAACTGGAAGGGACGACAGACGTGAGAGCAAGTGAGCAGAAACAGTTAACTCACGCTTGCAGACAGAGAGTGGTTGGATCAAAGAAAAAAGAAATGGCATCCTCGGAGGGCTTTAACATAGTAAGAGCCATGGGCTGTTTAAAAAAAACCAGGCAGAGAGAACGGACAGACCGGTAACTAGGTCAAGGAGCCGAGCACAGAGCTGCCCGGCAGCATAAGAAGGACTTCCAGCAATCTTGCATTACGCTCTGATGATGTCAGTAGTGTTAACCGACGAAAGGCTTAGCTTTTATAATTAAACAGTTTTGTTTTTAGTATTATCCTGATGTTCAGATTGTTTTTATAATATATATATATATGTGTGTGTGTGTGTGTGTGTATATATATATGTATATGTATATATGTGTGTGTGTGTGTGTGTGTGTGTGTGTTTTCTGACCTCCTGTGTGGTTTTCGTGAGTGTGGGTCTGGTGTCCTTCTTTGTGTTAGGGACACTTTTGCCAATAAGGGCGGGTTTCCAAATGGCTGGTAGGTGGGAGGTATCATCTCGTTTATTCATGCTGTGTGGGCGTTTTTCTATCTCGATGGCTTCTCTGATTATTCTGTTGTTAAAGTGTTCAGTTTTGGCAATAGTTCTGGTCTTTTTAAAGTCAATTTTATGTCCTGTGGCTTTAAGGCCACCCAAAAGCAACTTACCCAAAGAGGAACAGACAGCACTACTTAACCTGAAAGAAGACACCAGCATAATAATCCTACCAGCAGACAAGGGCAACGCCACGGTGGTTATGAACACATCTGACTACCAAACCAAATTAACCAACCTACTCCAAGACTCCACATACAAACCCCTAAATACAGATCCCACCACCTACCTG